ATCGATAACGTGAAAGCGAGATAAACGAAAAGAATGCGATGATCACGAAAGAATGCACGCACAAACGGAAAAAATAACAATTAAATGCGGCTGCAACAGTACCTGTGAAACGGGAATAAATATTATCATGCAATGATGAATGCATGCTTCCCACAAACGTCACTTTTCAAAATTCCCTGACTTTTCCCTGATAAAAATATTAAAATTTCCCTGATCAACACAAAATGTCAGATATAGTAGCGGCTTCTAGCATGAACGTAGAGCCGCCCTAATTTCTACTCGTTCATTAAGACGGATGAGTTTTCAACAAATTTCTTTCTTTTAGGAAAAAAAAAATTTCCTTCTTTTAGGAAAAATATCATTGAGATCACAGTGATACCAAATGTTCCTTCCAGCCTTCAATGGTATTAAGTCAGCCGTGTTAAGATATTTCAATTTCCCCTGACTTTTCTTCAAAATGTCAATTTTTTCCTGACTCAGAATAAAATTCCCAGATTTTTCCCTGACCTTGAAGAATTTTATTTTTCCCTGGCCATTTCCTAACCTCTGGCAACCCTGTAAATGACAAAACGTTCTGTTGACAAGCCAAACAAGCCTTGGGCTCTTCGTCATTCCTTTTTCAGTCTGTAGCATGGATAGACCATTGCAGGAGTATTGTTATTGTTACTTGATAGGATGCTAGTCCCGCAACCCCCCCTCCCACCTCACCCTTCCCCTTCCCCTTCCCCTCCCCATCCCCCCTCCCTCCCAACCAATTCTTTGCAATATACAGTAATTACAGGCCAGACTTCCCTAGCGATTGAACAGTACACGTCTATACTTAACAATTACATTATGAGCTCGGGATTTCCATCTTGCATAGAAATCGAGAGCGAATAATCTGTTTTAGTATAAATATATATTAGTCGTTCAAAAATTTATCTAAATCCTCTTCACAGACACTTCGAAAACGCAAAGGAGCGGCCATCACTTTGTTAACAACCACACACTGCTAAGCTACTGACTATTTTAAGAGTCATTTTTGTTCATTTGTTTATTCGCCATTTCCACATCCCCCATAATACACCTAGTTTGCCCCCCAAAAATTTTGCATAAGCATTGTCTTCAGTTTCTCTTGGGATGACTGTAATACCCAGGAGAAACGGGAAACAAAGGTTATGGAGAATTTTGGGGGGCAAACAAGGCGTATTATGGGGGATGTGGAAATGGCAAATTGAAGAAATTCTGCCTCTTGTACTTTTAACTTGAAGATATGAGTTAGAATAATTTATCTTGAATTCTTTTTTTTTTTTTAAAGAACTGCCATCTGGAGCAATCAGATGTGGCATGACACTACCCCTTGATTCTTTTTAAGTTTCGTACCTGTACGCTGGTATAGACGGGTTAGCAATCATTACAGCTTCCAGATGAAACCTTCCATCTCCAAGATAACTAAAACAATGAAGAATACTGGTCAATGGCTTCAATAATCTAAAATCTGGGTCAGCAGGCCACAGAAAATAGAAATTAGCAGTTTACAAAGCTTGGGAAAATGTATTATCTACATTACTTGCAAAACATGTTGGACGTTTTATTTCCATACACTTTTTATCTCATTTCGGACAAATTTCAGACAAAAATTTAGGACACTTTGCTGAAACATAGCTACCGTAAATTTACGGATAGCCATACAAAACACGAATTAGACTGAAACAACATCAAAAGATGTTACTTTTACTGCACTGTCAAGGTTTTACAGATAAACCAACAAGAAAATAAAACAAATTCTATCAAGCCGTTACGTATGTCAAGTCGTGTCTCAACTAGAGTTCACTCCATAAATCCCGGCATAAAGGAAACTTGGCACTTTGGAACTACTTCAAAGTTTTACATTGTACTGTTAATATTTCAGACGCTTGAAAGTTTTCGGACACTTGCTTTGCTCGAAATTAAACTTTTTGGCAAGTAATGTCAGTGTAATGTACGTTGTCCTAACTGGAAAACCAGAGAGCTGTCTCACTATCATGGGAGGTAAATAATTATTGCTTCTAGAGTGAAGGTTTGAACATTGTACAGTTCTTTTTTTCTTTTTTTAACACATTTTTAACAGGTTGAACGTGACTTGCGTGGTATGTCTATTTGTAGCACTGACAGCAATTGGCAACGTTTCTCGGGTCATGCATAAAACGTTCATCAGTGTGGTACAAGGAAATGGAACATGCACTTGGGTCAGCTGAGGATGACAGAAGTTTCTGTCGAAACATGTTTTATAAACTCAAACGTTTTGTCGTTTTCTTAAAATTCTTAATCTGCAATAAATGTTAAAACTACTACAAAATGTAAAGAACTGCATTTGAAGGTAATTTGGGGAGTCTCACAATCATTGCTACGTGTAATTACATTGAAGAATGCAAAACACCTTTAGGAGTACAGGGCAGGGTTTTCATTAAGGGCCGGACATCGGGAAAATCGACTGGCTATGAGGACGATTTTGCCTATTCCAACTGGTTTGACCATCTAGAGGAAAGTTTTTTTATAAAGGAGTTCAGATAAAATAGCCTTCCTGCTGA